CTCACATATATATATATATATATATATATATATATATATATACGCACAATGTATTTGTTTTTAAAAACCACAATATTGGATCATTCGAAAACACATAGAAACAGTTGTGGAATGGATGAAGTGAAAATTTAGAGCATTTAATTAGTTGCAAAACCAGGTGAATGCTTTGATGATAAGTTAATTATAACAATTTTGAGGGACCACTGGACGCCTAGCGTAATATCGCTTGGAGGGTAAAATTTTAATAAGTCTAGTAAGTGTGCAACACTTACTAGTGTCAACATTCTCACTTTTATCAAAGTATTTATTTTATCACTTTTACACACACATATATATATTATTAGAAAAGAAGCGTAAAGAGCTATATTGGAATAAGTCCAAAATTATATATAAAAAAGTTACTTCTTGCGGTTTTATATTTGTATATGCTGCTTAATTTCATGGCTAAAATTTTATTTATATATAAATATATAAAATAAAAAATTAATTTTAAAACGGTATTTTGAACTGAAAACAACAACTTTTTTTTTTATCAAAATGTTAACTAAACGAAAAAATATATATTTTTAACTGAATAACCAAACTACCACTTTTTTTTAATTCTCCTTTGGAAATCTTGTATTAACTTGTATAATTGAAATTAATATATTAACGGGCCAATGCCGCGATGTAAGCGGCATGGCATTTTTACTTACTGCCTCCAATGTCGCGGCAAAGGTCAATAATTTATTATTTTATCACTCTTATTGTTATTATATTTACAAATTAAATAATTATAATTGATATTGTATTATACCTGGTGGGAACGAAACTTGAAATGCTAAACTTTAATACTCTATTCCGTTAAGGGTTTATTATAGTCTTCTATGTTTATAATAGTAAAGGGTTAAAGAACATGCAATATAAATGCGACATTATTATTAAAGGAAATATTAATTAAAAAGGAAGATTAAAAAATTAACTCACTTTAATTTTTATAACAAATATAATAATAAATTAAAACTTTTACAAATACCGGTAAGGAGAAAATTCTAAAAGTTATTAACGTGTTTAATCGATAATAAGATGTCGATATATACAACAGATTATCAATATAAATTTTTTGTTATGATATCATTCTCGATTTAGATTATCTACCTATTTCTTACTATAATTATTACTTAGTTTATATAATTATTATAAACTTCAAATTATTACCTAGTTTATCGATTAATTTAGAAAATTCTATTATTATTCATGGCCTCTACTTTTTTTAAGAGAAAAATCAATCTACTAACTCTTTTGTATAACCACTCCGAAAAAGGAAAATTTTACGCAATAATAAATCTTAGATCAATGTTAATTTCAGAAAGAAATAAAAAGTTTGTTTAGAGAAAAGTTGGTTAAAAAAAAAAGATTGTAGTTAAAAAACAAAATTGGGAATTGGGGCAGAACAGCTATGTTCTAATAATTTTTTCGTATATTTAAAATTAAATAGTAAGTAGTGCTTAAAATTAACGGTTGTCCTTTTGAATCAAGACCACAACAAAATAATTAGTGGTCCCTCTTACAAGCGATTAATCACTGGAAATCAAGAAAAGGAATGTGATTTGGTTTGATGCTTTAGTCTGTGCTTCTGCCATAAAATTAATCTGCATTTTTCATTTTAATAATATTCTTTTTACTTTCAATAATCAATACAGTGTTCTACAAATAGTAAATATGTAACATTAAGCTAGTTCATTAAAAACATTATTTCTAGTCATATTTAATAAATTTACAAAAAAATTTTAAATTCTTCCGTTTAAACGGAAGATTTCATTTAAATATTTGAAGTGGTAGTAAATTTTATAATTCACTGTTTTACTTCTTAATTAATAAATTTGATTTATAAGACTTGGAGCCACTATTTCTGAACTATCCTAATAAGGACACAAGACCAAATTATCGGGCAATGAAGTTTTTAAGAGCTAACCGAATGTGCTTAGGCTAATTGTTAACTTACTAATACTTACAATACCGCAAGGATGACTTTTATGAATGTTGCATTAGTAAATTTTATTATGTTTACATTTTTATAACATATATATAACAGGGGCATAAGAACGGAACAGTGAAAATACGTTGTACTAGTTAAATCTCTTACATACAGATCCTTTGGACTAGTGATGAAATTTTTTTCTTCATATTTATCCCAAGTAAATCAACGTTACAAGCTTAATACAACATATTGTATGCGGGTTTACGTAAAAAGATATCTATGAAAACGTCAATTGTTTAACTGTAATTTCTACGATTATACCAAGATTTAAAAAACAAACATTTTCAAAGACAGCAAATATAAAGAATTCAGATTGCTAAACGTAAAATGCTTCAAACTGAAATTGAAGTTATCGCAACGAGTTTGAGCAAACATTGTTAAAACTTTGTCAACTACTTCTTTAAATTTTAATCTCTAATAGGCGAATTATATTTGTTTGGAAATGCATACCTGCTAACTTAAAATCTATTCGAGGATCATTTTGTCAGGTAGTAGTAAAATAAAAATGACAGCCTTAGGCAGAAATATATTTTAGAAGGTGTAAAAGCTTAAACACACCATCGTAAAATTATCATATTTTTATTTATATATACATACTTGCCAACTTTTATGCTTTTCAACAAAGTGCTTCCTTAGTGGTAGGAAAAAGCTAATTCAATTGCGTTAGTAAGTTGGTGTTTCGATTAAATTTAGCCAACACTTCTAAAGATAGCAAGCCTACTATATATGTATATGTTTAAATTATTAAAAGTAATGGTAGTCAAAATCATTTTAAACGACATCTATTTAAAAAAAAAATTAGATAAATTTTATCACCATATTAAATATAAAAATAAAATCTTTCGGAAAAATCGTAAGAATTGGCATATATATATTCAATCCACTTCCTTTAGAGTTAGTAAGCAGAACTTAGTAAGCAGAAATTCCGAGCTTTAGACCATGTTGTTTTGCCAGAAGACAAGAGAACTCCTGGATCAAGTATTGGTAGAAATTTGTCTTCGTGGAGGACTTTTTTTGATGGGACTAACCCGCATTTGCATTACATGGTGAGGGAAATCACGAAAACCTTCCTCGGTTAGTCTGACAAAAAGGGGAGTCTAACCCATTATTCGTCTACCACTGAGGATATTTTACATCAGTTAGGGTCAGTGCGAGCCGGGGGCAGAATTCGTATCGACTACCTATCGCTGGGATTCGAGCGCTGGTCACCTCATTGTGAGACGAGTGCTTCATCCCATGAACCAGCAAGGCTCTAAACCGTTTTATTTTAAAATAGTAATATAAAAACAAAATTATAAGAAATCACTCGAGATAATATCTCATGCATCATACATTTTTTTTCAAGATATATTAATAAAAAAAAATGCCTGTATGTATGTATATATATATATATATATATATATATACAGGTATAGAAAAAAATAATAGAAACACCTGTGAAAGAATGGATTCGTCCTTTGACCGTCCAATAAACGGCGACACGTGTCGCAAGAGTGTGTCACCTAGTGGTGATGAAAGGAAAGGTATCAGTCTAGCATTTGGCAGTGTGAGTTGCATGAGAAAAATCTGTTCCCAGTAAAGCGAGATTATGTCCGACCTCTCTGACCTTAAAAGAGGCATGATAATCGGAGCTCGCCGAGCTGAAGCGTCCGTGTCCAGAACAGCGAACTTTGTGGGTGTTTCAAGGACTCTGTCGGCATACACAAAGTTGGGTAAGGTGTCTTCTGCGAAGCACAACAGCGGCAGGAAGTCGAAGTTGTCGGACAGTGATAGAAGGGTGTTGAAGAGGATAGTCGCTCGAAAACGCAAGACTTCACTGCCGGTGATAACGTCGGAGATGAATACTCACCTTCAGAACCCCGTATTCATGAAAACTATTCAACGGGAGTTGCATGCTGCTAACAATCAAGGCAGAGTAGCTATTCCAAAACCGTTAGTTTCAGCGGGGTTGAAGAGACTACAGTGGTGCCAAGACCACCTAAAATGGACACAACTGCAATGGAAACAAGTCATCTGGTCTGATTTGTTCGAACGAGTCATCTGTTCGTGTGGCAAACGCCGGCAGAAGCATTTCAAATTGACTACCTGTTTCCAAGCGTGAAACATGGAGGTGGTTTTGCGATGGTATAGGGCGCTATATCTGCCCGTGGATTGGGGCCTCTCGTTGTCTTGAGCGGGGTGATCAAAGGTGATCATCTTCACCCTATGCTTCATACTCTCTTTCCGGGAGAACGCCCCTGTTCACACGTCTCACTGTGTTCAAACATGGTTAAATGAGCATAATGATGAAGTGG